ACTTGCTGCATCTTGATTCAGTACGATAAGTAAGCAGGAATTCATTCATTCAGCATTGAATTCATCGCCAAACTGAAGTTCAGAAGGTACCAGAGAATTAATTTTCTGAAGGACTAAGGCAGTGAATTCCATATTAAACAATGAGGACCAGGACAGAGTCAGAAAAGAACTCAGAGATTCCAGTTACCATGTGGGCTGCTGAAGTCTCTGACCTTCTTGAAGGGCAAGAGGGAGAAGTTTCTGTGTGTCCCATAAATTAAACACTGCCAGGTAGGACTAACATCTGTCTGCCCACCATGGATGAAGAAGCCCTCCAAACAGCAAGGCTTTTCTAGGGAGATGAATTTACATAGTCAAGCTACTGCTGAATGTGCTTTGAACTGCACTGAGCAATACCCTGGCTTTACATTAGGCATGTCCAAAATGTCTGTGTCAGCAGGCCCCTGGGGTAACCCATAACAGTAAGCCAGTATGTTGTGCCTGCTCTGCCCCATGCCTAGGTCGCCCACTGTTCCAGCAGACTCTATGTCTTTCTGCATCTCTCACAGCCTGGCAGCGGGGCCCTGTTTTGGATGCTGACATGGTGAAGAGCTTGATGAGCATCTGTTTACTCAGTGCTACTTTTACATGGAATACAGTTACTTGGCAGAGTCAAATGCTTTATAGTAGGTTACAAATCAATTCAGTTCTCTTCCTTCTTGACAGTACTCAGCAGTTCCTTGGGTTTTCTGAGTTGTTTAAACACTGTGACTAATAAAGCACCATCACGCCACTCCAAAGTGCAATATAAGACTGTCAGAATGCTAGTGTGGGCCCAAGGTCCATGCAGGTCAGTCTGGGTTACTGGGTTAGTTGGTCAGTGCACCACCTAACACTGTGCCACTATGGGAGAGGGAAAGAACAGGCAACTATTCGGTGATATGACCCAGCCATGGCTCACGGGAGTTTGTGGTCCAGGAACATTCCAGATCAGACATGCTGCCTTTGTAGTCAAATTCTGGGTGTTTTTTTTCCTATTGATTTGTCCATCCATTCTTGAACCCATCCATATTTTGGAGTGCACAGATCCTGGGGCAAAGAGTTCTCTAAATTTTTAATATTCCATCTGTGGAGTCTCATGTTTCTTTTTTCATTTTCAGTGTCCACCTTTTACTTTTTATTTACTTTCCTTTGAGAAACTATAAATTTAGAAGTTCAGGAGAGTTTGTCTTTTTTTTAGTCTGTGGTAGAAAAGTAACGCAAGTGTGAAACATCACTGTAATTCTTTGATTCTTCTCCTGTATTTACTTTTTAGTGGTAGAGTCCTAATCCACTGACTACACAAATTCTTAACACAATTTATTGGGAAATTCACAATGTCTGATGCTTTTCTATAAGACTTGGCTTTGGAGTAAGAGAATCACAGAATCATAGAATCAGCCGGGTTGGAAAAGACCTCCGAGATCATCAAGTCCAATTCTTGATCCAACACCGCCGTGGTTACTAGATCATTGCACTAAGTGCCACATCCAGTCTCAGCTACCTTTCCCTTGCTTGCGTTCTCTCGCTCGTTTCTACTGTTAAGGGGTTCGCCGTTACCGCTATAGGGAAAAGTTTTAAACCGCAACTTTAGGACACTCAGGCTCTTAAGCCCAACCCCGGGCTTTTGAGAACCCCGCTCATGACCCTAAAACGCTGCGTTAATTGTAACTAACAAAATAATAATAATAATCCGTCCTCTGGGAGGCATTCCTCCCTTCCACATTAAGAACGTCACTGTTGCGAGGCACCTCCGGCGCGGGGAGGGGGCGAGGGTCCTGAGCCGGCAGGTGTGTGCAG